AGGCCAATTTAGCTCAAAGGGAAATGATTCATTGATTTGCAATGAATCTATGGAACCGAATCACTGAACCGAGCAAATGACTCGCTTAGAATTCATTTGAACGGTCCGTAATTATAACCAAATCTATAGTGAAACACTATATCTTAGCAAGGTAACTTTAAATCGAACAGTACAAGACATTAAATGTGCAAACACGACACAAGAATATTTATCTTTTCAAATATATGGAAGATTTTATTAGCTATTCTAAACACAACTAAACATAATCACGCACACACACACATTCATACAGTCGCGAAAGGGAAAGAGTGAGTTGGAAAGAGTGAGAGAGAAAGTTTCAACTTTCTATATGCACGTAAGACATAACCTGAAAGGACCACCAAGCATTAATTTGAACCTTCATTTCTTAGAGAGGTTATTCAATTAACATTAAAGCACCAGTTCAGTTAGAGCCTGGAGTACTTGCGCTTTGTAGTGGCTGAGGGAATTCCCTTTGTCTGCGTCGCGTCGAAGGGGAGTTTCCCGGCCGGGTCCGTTGCGTGGTTTGTTGTCTATGAAGTGCAGGGATGGAAGTTTCGCCGCTGGTCACGTGTGATTAGCAAGCGAATGAGAGTCTTTTCCAGTTCGAAGCGCGTTGCAAACTTAACTTTGAAACGAGACTTTTACGAAAAAGGAAATAAAGGAAAGAAATGAAAGCAAGGCGAGTCGGATGGCTTGACTGAGCTGAATTGTAACCCTGATCTTGATGGGTTATTCGTCTGCTGGTCGAATTTGGTCTAGTCGATGTAGAAGCATGCGAACACGTTCTTTGTTTCAGAGATAAGCACGAACAGAACACTCTCTTGCTGGTTTTAGAGAGAGGCACGGACTTAACAGTTACAGAACAGAACAAAAATCTAAACAAAAATCATCTGAAATCTTCAAAATCTCTACAGAAATCTGATCATGAGGTCCTTTGTTCGGATCTTTAACTTAAACTCTAGTCCAACCTCCAAGAAGCTTCTGGCCAATTGGAGGCGGATCTACTTCTTGCTTTATCATAATTTATGCATGGTCTGTGAGCTGGTCTCCAGCACTTAGCAGAGACAAAAGACCATCGTTTTAACCTTATGATAATTATAATAATAAAACAAAACCTTTTACGCAGATTTCAATCAAGCCATCTTTTGAATTAGGAGAATACGATTCGTTTAAGAGTAAATGAGGCATTCACACTTCTAATGGTTGTATAACAATTACAAGAGTTAATAGTTAACAACAATTACATGATTCATATGTGATCTAAGCATTAACAAACAACACATGAATTGCAGAAAGCAATGAGACTTGTGAGGTTTGATTAAAAGTTCAAGAATTGTTCTGTGGTGAGTTTATATGATTTTATGTGTGAGATCTCCGATCTCAATCGTAAAGTTACTGAGAGTTCAACTCGAAGGGGGACGAGGCAAAGGTGTTCTGTGGAACATCTCTGTCAGGGCATCAGAGGGGTCTTTGATGTGAGCCTCTCGTTCCACCATTTTGGAGCTGATTTGTCTTAGTTAAAATTACCATATTGACACGTTCGTCCTGTTTAGTGCCCATCTCTTGGGCCTGTGGGGCAATAAAAGTCCTTATCTGCAGACAGCACGGAGTCGTTCCGTGACTCTGGAATGTGGGCTCCAGAACTTGGAGTGTTGAAGCCATGTGAATTAATCCCATGAGAGATTAATTTGATTAAGTTGTGTTTGATTCGCCTCGATTCTCTACAATCTCAATAGTTAAGGGACAGCTTAAAGATGTGAAGTTCTGCATTGGTGATGACCCAATACCAACAGTGTCTGAGCAACCTGTCAAAAGCCTGGGTAGATGGTACAATGCAAGCCTCAGGGACAAAGACCAAGTGCAACAAGTAAGGCAGGACATTACCAACAGTCTAGAAAACATCAACAATACCCTTCTGCCAGGGAAGCTCAAGCTCTGGTGCCTTCAATTTGGACTTCTCCCTCGGGTTATGTGGCCACTCACTATTTACGAGCTCCCAATAACAACTGTTGAGAAGATGGAGTGAACCATGACCTCATACGTGAAGAAATGGCTCGGCGTCCCTCGCTGTCTGACTAACATCAGCCTCTACGGAAAAGGGGTCCTTGAGCTTCCTATCACAAGCCTCACCGAAGAGTACAAGTGCTCTAAAGTGAGACTTCAGATGACTTTGAAGGACTCCAGAGACCAGACCATCAGCAATGCCGTTCCACCTCTGTTAACTGGATGGAAATGGAAACCATCCGACGCGGTGCAGCAAGCTACGTCAGCCCTGAGGCACAGCGATATTGTAGGGCACGTCCAGTTGGGAAGAGGAGGCCTTGGCCTTACGACAAGCAAGCCAACTTGGCGTAAGGCCTCAACAGCAGAGAGGAGGAAAATGGTGGTCGAGGAAGTGCGCCGTCAGGAGGAGGCAGAAAGAAATTCAAAGGCTGTCTCTCTTGCTAAGCAGGGACAATGGATGAGGTGGGAAGGCCTGGAGAGAAGAAAGCTTAGCTGGAGGGAGCTCTGGGAAATGGATGCAAGCAACATCAGCTTCATCATCAGAGCAACCTATGATGTGCTCCCATCACCAAAAAACCTCCACCAGTGGTATGGTGAGGACCCAACCTGTGCCCTCTGCCCAACTCCAGCGACTCTTAAGCACATCTTGGTTGGCTGTAAGACCAGTCTCACACAAGGTCGTTACACCTGGAGACACAACCAGGTCCTCAAGAGTCTGGCAGCAGCTCTTGAGAGCCAGAGGGATGCCACCAACTCCTTGCCCCTGAGAGCAACCAAGTCCATCACGGCCCCAATCTTCATCCGAGAGGGACAGGAAAAGCCCAACCATCCCCCTACCAAACCAGAGACTGGACAGCTAGCCATGGCCCGGGACTGGAAGATGCTAGTCTATATAGGCCAGCAACTAATCTTTCCACCTGAAAATGCAGTCACCACCCGTAGGCCAGACTTGGTTCTCTGGTCCCCTTCGTTAAAGTCTGTTTACATCATTGAGCTCACAGTCCCATGGGAGAATGCAACAGATGAGGCCTATGAACGCAAGAAACTGCGCTATATAGGACTGGCAGCAGACGCTCAACAACGAGGATGGAAAGCGAAAGTCTATCCGGTTGAAGTGGGATGCAGAGGGTTTGTGGCTTCGTCTACCATCAGATTGCTGAAAGACCTTGGCATCCGTGGACAGGCTTTGCGACAAACAATCAGATCAGTCTCTGAGGCATCCGAAAGAAGCAGCCAGTGGATCTGGATTAAGAGGAAGGATCCCTGTTGGGCTCAAAGAGCATCAACATGACCCACTCACTAATCCCCCCACCCGATAACCCCCTTGGGAACCCAGGTCACAACCCTCCATGAGGAGGCTGAAGGTATGCGGTCAGCCTTATGCTTGACTCAGGGAACACTGCATGAAAAGTGGGATTTTCGTCCCCGTAAACTGTCGGAAATCTCCCTAATTTTCGGCAGTTAACGACAATTTACAGACTGTGAACGTCGCGTTCCACTGTGCCACATATTGACGGAAACGAACCATGACGTATGCATGGAGCGCTCGCGGGAGGTGTGAATGGCCCTAATTAGCATATGAATAGCAGCACTGCGCGCGCCTTGCCAGAGAATGGCTTGAATTTCCTCACTCAGTATTGGTTGAAATTCACTACATTTAAACAAGATAATCACTCGTGATTGGTTGGCAGATCTGTTATTATTGGTCAGCTTACATAAAATTATAATAATAATTATTTATATATATTCATATGATATGCTATTATGTTGTATATTCATGTCATTGTTATCCTATGGACTAAACTATTATTACCATCAAGGACATGAATTTATTGAGGAAAGGAACATATGCCAGATACTGTTTATTCAAAGAAATAGCTTTATTAGAACAAACACACAATGTACAAAGCATAGGAGAACATCTTCAAAGCACAGAAAACATGTCCTCCACCCTCTGGAAACATGGGATAACATACATACAGCACTACAGTTATACAAATAAATCAATAATATATTGCATCTTTATTCAAAAATAAATTGCCCTGAATGGCATCAGAATTGGGCACCAGATATATCAAACACAATGTACAGTGGAGGCAGAATTGTGAACAAATAATAAGGATGTAATTTATAGGGATAGTTCAGTTTGAAATTAATTTTTGATATGTTTTAGCTTACCTCAAGGGCATCCAAGGTGTAGGTGTCTTTGTTTCCACAATATTTTCAATTTTGATATTTTTAGGTCAAACCGTTCTTGTCTGTCAGTCATATAATGGAGGTCTATGGTCACCACCTCAAAGAGCATGCACAGAGAAGTCCAAATTAAACATGATTTAATGACTCATAAATTAAGTACACATTGATGGCCTAAGACACGAAACGAGCGATTTGTGAGAGAAAACAAACAGTTTATATATATATATATATACATACACACACGGTTCATTTTCTCACACAAACCGCTCGTTTCGTATCTTAAGCCATCAATGTGTACTTACAGTTACGAGTCATTAAATCATGTTTAATCTGGATTTCTCTGTGCATGCTCTTTTAAGAGATCCCCATAGATTTCCATTATATGACTGACAGACAAGAATGGTTTGACGTAAAAATATAAAAATTGAAACTACTGTGGAAACAAAGACACCTACGTCTTGGATGCCCTTGAGGTAAGCTAAAACATTTCAAAAATTAATTTTAAAGTGAACTATCCCTTTAAAACTCTTAATTCAAGTCCTGTAGGCTCATCGGGGCGTAGTGAATCCTCCACCTCCAAGTCTTTGCGACGCGTGCTTGAGGTGCTCACACACGTTCACCTTGATGTACATACACCTCAGTGGCTATGGAACCAAATTTCATGATCCCTTCTGCAAAGTTGAAAAAGACCAATGATTTAGATGTATGCAAAGACAATCTGCCCCAAGTCCCCACATTTGTAAGCAAAAATATGTTTCCTTTGCATCCACTACCTGGTTTCTGGCGATGGCGGATGTCGACCAGTAGTTTCAGGACATTTTTCTGGAACACTGAAATAAACAAACACATTTGGTGAGGTTTGCAACGCTCTAATTAGAATAGCAAAGTTTGCTAGCTCACAAGAGAGAAGGTGTCTATTAAAAGTGTCTTCTCCACTGCCAATAGATCAATACTTACCAGTCTCAGTCACTGCATCTCCCAGTCTCAGTCACTGCATCTACACCACAAAAAATGTGTTATACAAGTTATTATCAAATGATGAAACTGAACATATTTATAAGATGATAAATAATAAATCTGCAATATTGTAACAATTAGAGATATATCTATAAAACTTGGTGAACTGCAAAGTACTTTGATGAAAATTGTGGCCTTAATTGTAAAAAAATTCTAAATTACTTGATTTCTTGTTCAAAGCAATGTGTACACTGTGTAACAGGCATCCAGGGTCATATGACCACCACCTGAATAGCAAAATAATCCTAAATGAGCTTAATGTGAACGCAGCCGACAACTCACCGTGCCTGTCATGTGCTGAGATCACTGCGCTGTACTCTTTTATCATGCCTGGACCTGGGCGGGGGACTGGGGGCATCACTACGGGATCGGTCTTCATGGATTTATTAGTTCCATATGGTTATACCTGAAATTAAAATAATTTTGTAATTATAATACGTTTCCTGTTGTGTTAGTATATGTGCACTGAAAGCCTCAGCACACAAACAAATTCCTTATGTGTGCAAGCACACTAGATAATAAAGCTCTTTCTGATTCAGATTCAAAGTAATAGCAGTGATTTGAAGATTGTGTGCCTCGCACGTGCCGTGACCCATCATGTCTGGACCTGAAGGTGTGCCTCGAACAATCTCTGTGCAGGACCTGATGGTGAATCGAACACTGGACCTAGTAACATTTAAACTTGGCCAAACATTTATGAATATAACATGCCATGTTCCAGTTCTCTTTGGCGTTTTCACCACTGTCTTACTCTCAAAGTCATCCGTAAACACAGACGTTAATACCAAATTAGTTTAGTTTTACTGGTTATTTGACTGGGGCCTGATCAAAAGAAAAGAGGATGAGATCACAACACGTAACGTTACCTTGTTTAGGTGTTTTTTCTCCTATCAGGGAAGGGCACCTCACTCCTTACAGCACCTGAGAGACAAAACAAATGCGTTAACAAACATCACAAACAGATGGAGTTAAAGATTTCACTCCATCACACAACAGCGTTGCAGTTTTACAAACAAGGATAGCCTACACTAGAGCATACAAGCACATTACGAACTTTGAGTTTGTATGATCCTGGCACATATAATTTCTGACGATATTCAGAGTAGCACGCATTGGGAAAAGCCCGTTGAACACCCAATACGAGTTAGTTTGATTACTAGCAAAGAATTCTAGCAGCCAGATAACAACGAGCAAAATACAATTTAGTGTCAAGAATTAAGAGCAGCAAGCTAACGCAAAACAAAAAAACTGTGCCGTTAAGGTTAACGCCCTTGAACATTCGCGGCAGTAATCACAGCAGGTTTGTGAAGTTTAAGACAATAACGCTAAACTACCAAACACTAGCATAAGTAGACATGGACATAGAATTCACTAGATTGGACGAACTTACCTTCAATTTAGAGGAGATGGGTTCACCAGTGATCATGACGGCGATGTAGGCTGAATATCTGTGCCGTTATTTTCTGCTTGAAAAACCAACCATGTGAAAAACACGCATAATCGCGCCGCTCGCGCCACATGGCTCGCATGTTGCCTCGGCCTATCAGAGTGGCTGGCTTTACAGGTTGGGTTATGATGATATGTTGCCTCAGCCAATCAGAGTGACGTTCACTGGATTTCGACTGTGGTTGAAATCAAAGCTCTTGATAGAGTTGTCCGACCTCGGCTGTCCATGACTTTTCTGTTGCTGTTAGTTCTTTTTAAATTAGGAATAAGGTGGATAGACCTAATATAGGCTACCATGAAATGAAAAATACAAATACAGGGTGTGCATAAATAAATAACTTGATTAGGTTACTTAAAATAAATAAACCAGTAAAAAAAAAACCCCAAAAAAAGAAAACATCTGGTTATAACTGTGAATTATTGATTTTATTTTATTTTTTCAATTCTGTCCTATTTTTATTTTTTCTTATTCATTTAAAGTGAAATTATTATTTGTTGATTGTTATCTTTTTGGATATCATGCTATTGTTGTAATTGTTGTGCATTATGTGTAATGTAAAAAAAAATAAAAAATAAAAATAAAATAAATAAAAAAAAAAAACACTGTGAGCCTGATCTATTTCTACCAGAGATTGTCCTAGAATGAGGTATATCTTTCAGAAAAATGTTACCTGGGGTGAAACTCCCCTACCCTTATTTGCATGTGTATAGCTTACAGCATTTTCATTTACATGTCAAAGCCTCCTCTAGATTTAGGAAAAGGGGGGTCATGCGGGGACAACTGGCAAGCAAGGCCTACGTCAATTTCCGGCAATTCACGGCAGTTTTGGGTGTTGCCTGTAAATTGCCGTGTGCAGTCGTAAACCTGAACTTCCACGACAATCTACAGTGCCGCTTACTGACGAAAATCCCACTTTTCATGCAGTGGAAGAGGACGCCTCCTGCCTTGCATAGTCCTAATTTTTCTTATGATTGGGCATGGGACACAAGCTCAGGTTTGATCACCCTGTAGCTGGCCACCTTTGATGAGGGTGTCTAGTGTTGAAAGGCCGAAACACCCCCTGATTCAAAGGCACATTACTGATGATGTGTCCCGAAATTTAAACCTTTCCCATGGCTGAAGTACAGATCCCACGCCACTCTCAACATCAAGGCAAAACTCATGTGCATACCACCTATTGGCACAATGGACAGTTTTCCATCACGTCCCGTGTTTATGATTCTGAGTATCTGGACTTGTCCAGTGACCGCTGTGAAAGGACAGCTGACAACATAGGAAAGTCTGTGTGACAGCTTGGAGAGACAGCTGACTGGAGGGAATAGTCCCCACTGGGGCTGTCATGGGCTAGCTACCCATGGTGGCAGTCTCCGACACTGCTTCAGCTTGTTGGAGACACCCGCCAAATGCTACAGAAAGTGAACAAAGGGACATACCCCCAGAGCCTGCGAGAGCGGGGGCGCAAGATGGCTCAATGACTGACAACATGGTTACAGACCCAGGAACAGACATGACTACGAGCAAGAACACGGCACATGAGACAACCACAACAGCAGCTGGACACTCTCTTCAAGTGTGCACCTGTGGCTGGGCAAAAAAAAAACATCATACAGGGGGTTGAGGACTCACCAAGGAAAGAGAGGGTGCTTGAGAGAGCAGAAACAAGGGCCTCGCATTGACCAGTACTTCTTACGAAGCAACCAGTTAAATCAGTCGATTGAAGCACAGCGACGGGATAAAAACCAAAGTTCGCAGAGCATCAGCACCATTGTCACTGAGGATGATAAAACAAGCACAGAAGTGTGGGTGGAGGAACCCACTCAACCACAGAGACCTCCCAAGGAGGAAAAGATCAAAGGGCACAGACCGAGTGTGAAGTGGCCTAAAGCTGTTGAAAAGAGAGAGTGGGAAATAATCAACAACGATCTGACAAAAATCCTGGAGCAACAAGTGGGCACAGTAGAAAGAAAGCTGGAAAGGATGGGTGACATCATCTATTACTACGGAGAAGAGCGCTTCGGAGTAAACACAAGGAGAATTGACAAAGCAATACCAGCACCAGTCAAATCCAGAAGGCAGCAAGAGATCGAAATGCTGGTAAGAGAGAGAAGGCAACTGAGAAAGAAGTGGAAGAAGGCCTCTGAGGAAGAGAGAGAGGGACTCATGTTACTCCAGGGGGACATTAAGTGTCGGTTGGCAACCCTGCGAAGAGCAGAGAACCTGAGGAAACTTCGCAAGAAGAAAGAACACACAAGAACAAGGTTCTACAAAAACCCTTTCAAGTTTGTTAAAGATCTCTTCACTAAGGAAAAAAGTGGAAGCCTAAAAATTCCAAAGCATGAGCTGGAAGAACATCTGGAAAAGGTCAACCATGATCCAAAAAGGCATGAACAAATAATTATCCCACATGACATCCCACCTATTCAACCTCCCGAATTCAATCTGGAGACTGGCCCTCCAAAATGGAAGGAAGTAGAGAGTACAGTACGGCGCACAAGATCAGCATCAGCCCCTGCATCAGATCCAAGCGGCAAAGAAAGACAAGAAAGACATCCATGTCATCTTCCTTGACCTGGCCAATGCCTTTGGATCAGTTCCCCATAACCTCCTCTGGGAATCCTTCAAATTCTTCCACGTTCCATCATCCGTCACTAGTCTAGTAAAAGCCTACTTTGAAGACCTGCAATTGTGTTTTACAACAGCCGACTTTACAACATCATGGCAGCGCGTAGAAGTAGGCATTATGGCAGGCTGTACAATCTCACCCCTGGCCTTCACAATGTCCATGGAAGTCATCATCAGGGCCTCAAAATGGGTTGTGGGGGGTGAGCGAACTAAGAACGGGATTCACCTTCCACCTATCCGAGCATACATGGATGATATGACCACCCTGACCACTACTGCAGCATGTACCAGGCGACTACTTGGAAAGCTGCAGGAGAACATCAAGTGGGCCCGGATGAAAATCAAACCGAACAAGTCACGAAGCATCTTGTAGCAAATGCAACATTTAATAATATACATAAAATGTATTTAAGGGGGCCGAAGGCCAATTTAGCTCAAAGGGAAATGATTCATTGATTTGCAATGAATCTATGGAACAGAATCACTGAGCCGAGCAAATGACTCGCTTAGAATTCATTTGAACGGGCCGTAATTATAACCAAATCTATAGTGAAACACTATATCTTAGCAAGGTAACTTTAAATCGAACAGTACAAGACATTAAATGTGCAAACACGACACAAGAATATTTATCTTTTCAAATATATGGAAGATTTTATTAGCTATTCTAAACACAACTAAACATAATCACGCACACACACACATTCATACAGTCGCGAAAGGGAAAGAGTGAGTTGGAAAGAGTGAGAGAGAAAGTTTCAACTTTCTATATGCACGTAAGACATAACCTGAAAGGACCACCAAGCATTAATTTGAACCTTCATTTCTTAGAGAGGTTATTCAATTAACATTAAAGCACCAGTTCAGTTAGAGCCTGGAGTACTTGCGCTTTGTAGTGGCTGAGGGAATTCCCTTTGTCTGCGTCGCGTCGAAGGGGAGTTTCCCGGCCGGGTCCGTTGCGTGGTTTGTTGTCTATGAAGTGCAGGGATGGAAGTTTCGCCGCTGGTCACGTGTGATTAGCAAGCGAATGAGAGTCTTTTCCAGTTCGAAGCGCGTTGCAAACTTAACTTTGAAACGAGACTTTTACGAAAAAGGAAATAAAGGAAAGAAATGAAAGCAAGGCGAGTCGGATGGCTTGACTGAGCTGAATTGTAACCCTGATCTTGATGGGTTATTCGTCTGCTGGTCGAATTTGGTCTAGTCGATGTAGAAGCATGCGAACACGTTCTTTGTTTCAGAGATAAGCACGAACAGAACACTCTCTTGCTGGTTTTAGAGAGAGGCACGGACTTAACAGTTACAGAACAGAACAAAAATCTAAACAAAAATCATCTGAAATCTTCAAAATCTCTACAGAAATCTGATCATGAGGTCCTTTGTTCGGATCTTTAACTTAAACTCTAGTCCAACCTCCAAGAAGCTTCTGGCCAATTGGAGGCGGATCTACTTCTTGCTTTATCATAATTTATGCATGGTCTGTGAGCTGGTCTCCAGCACTTAGCAGAGACAAAAGACCATCGTTTTAACCTTATGATAATTATAATAATAAAACAAAACCTTTTACGCAGATTTCAATCAAGCCATCTTTTGAATTACGAGAATACGGTTCGTTTAAGAGCAAACGAGGCATTCACACTTCTAATGGTTGTATAACAATTACAAGAGTTAATAGTTAACAACAATTACATGATTCATATGTGATCTAAGCATTAACAAACAACACATGAATTGCAGAAAGCAATGAGACTTGTGAGGTTTGATTAAAAGTTCAAGAATTGTTCTGTGGTGAGTTTATATGATTTTATGTGTGAGATCTCCGATCTCAATCGTAAGGTTACTGAGAGTTCAACTCGAAGGGGGACGAGGCAAAGGTGTTCTGTGGAACATCTCTGTCAGGGCATCAGAGGGGTCTTTGATGTGAGCCTCTCGTTCCACCATTTTGGAGCTGATTTGTCTTAGTTAAAATTACCATATTGACACGTTCGTCCTGTTTAGTGCCCATCTCTTGGGCCTGTGGGGCAATAAAAGTCCTTATCTGCAGACAGCACGGAGTCGTTCCGTGACTCTGGAATGTGGGCTCCAGAACTTGGAGTGTTGAAGCCATGTGAATTAATCCCATGAGAGATTAATTTGATTAAGTTGTGTTTGATTCGCCTCGATTCTCTACAATCTCAATAGTTAAGGGACAGCTTAAAGATGTGAAGTTCTGCATTGGTGATGACCCAATACCAACAGTGTCTGAGCAACCTGTCAAAAGCCTGGGTAGATGGTACAATGCAAGCCTCAGGGACAAAGACCAAGTGCAACAAGTAAGGCAGGACATTACCAACAGTCTAGAAAACATCAACAATACCCTTCTGCCAGGGAAGCTCAAGCTCTGGTGCCTTCAATTTGGACTTCTCCCTCGGGTTATGTGGCCAC